CACCCCAATTCAACCCTCCCCCTCTCCAAGGAAGCCCAGTCCCTGGGGAATCCCTACCTGGGGCCCTTAAGCCAGTTGGGACAACATGCCCTAAACTTGCCAAGCCCGCCTGGGCTGCGAGCGCTGGGTTTTGTAGTCCCGGCGCCGAAGCAAGAGGCGCGCGGGCACCCTGGCTCCACATCACCCTCTGACCCCGCCCGACGCTCGCGCGCCGACCAATGGCGTCGCCGCAGCGCCACCGGGCAGCCAATCGGCGAGGCGCGCGCGTAGCGCTCCTCCCTCCGCGCCAGCGATCCCGCCCCCAGGCGGTCACTGAGGGAGCACAAAGCCACCGCCACCCCCCCTCCCTTTTACCTCACGACGGGCGACCCTCCCCTTCCCCACACCGCCCTTCGCCCCGGGGGTTCCTCCGGCTGCCCCTCACCGTCGGCCGGTGTGTGTGTCCGAGGCCCCCCCGGGAGTCCCGTGACCCGAAGGCAGGGCGCCCGCCAGCCGCTCCTCTGCTCGGCGGCGGCTGCGGGAGCTTTTCAAAAGTCCTCCCGAGGCCGAAATGGGAGCCCCGCCCCCTCCGCTAGGTCCCCGCCCCCTTGCGTCACCAAGATGGCGAGCTCCGGCGCAGCGGAGAGCATGCGCAGTTGGCAAAAGGGAGGGAGGGAGGGAGGAGCAGCAGCAGCATCATCAGTGCGAGTTCGAATCCCGCCGTTGCCCTCGAAGTCAATTGCAGAATCTAAAAGTCAGGTGCCACCAGAGGAGGAAAATTCGCGGAAAATCAGACGAAAAGTTAAATCAGGGGAGAATTCAAACGCGGCCTAGTCACGGGATTGGAAGTTAAAGGATAAAAGGAAAAGTCGTCCCTGCGGATTTTGACTCCGCTAGCCGTTGCCGACTCCAGGGGGCGCTGCTTATCTCCCTTTTAAGGCCGTTCAGCCAGCGCTGTCCGAAAACGCTTCTGCGGTCCAGGTGGCCAGCAGGACATCAACGGAACTTTGCAACAATTCAATTCAAATCACTCCATGCGAATAGAGCTGGAAGGGACCTTGGAGGTCCTCTAGTCCAACCCCCTTGCTCAAGCCCGTCAATAAGAGGCCCGGCATGCCAGGAAAAGCCTCTTGCCCGCCAAGATTCGAGCTCAGATTCTTTAATTTGCTCTTTAATTCCCTTGAGATGCATTAAAGTTTGTTTAGCTTCACATCGGGTGTCCAACCCTCCACCCGCCTGATGGCAACCGAGTTCCCGCCCGGCAAGAGCGGCAAGCGGTGCTTTCCGGACTCTTACTGCCCACCGGAAGTGGGCGGGCGCTTCCTTCTTCCGCCTGCCCAGCTGCTTCCGGCCACGCCTCCTCCGCGGGGGCTCTCGCGAGACTTCCGCGTGGCCCACCCCGCTCCGCCGCTCCGCCGCTCCGCTGCTGCTGCTGCTGCTGCTGCCCCGACGGCTCCGCCGCCGCCGCCATGGCGTCGGACTCGGATACCGAGGAGCTCTTCTACGACGCCTCCGAGGACGTCGCCCAGCACGGCGGGAGCCCCTCGGCGTGAGTCCGCCCGGAGGGAGCAGCAGGGGGGGGAGGTTGAGCATGGAAGTCCAGGCGGCGCTTCTCTGGGGGGGAGGGCGGGGGGGGCAGAGGAAAGCGGGCGCCCCCAACCCGCAGCTCCCCCGGCTCTCAGCCCCGGCAGGCAGGAGGAGGAGGAAGGCGGGATCCGGAACCGCAGCCCTGCAGGAGCCTCGGGTGGGATTGGCGTCGAGTCGAGCCGCTTACCTGGCCCCGAATCCCCCCCCCGGGCCCCTTTCTTCCCCCCCCTTTCTCTTGCTTCTTGCCTGGGTTCCCCAATGCAAGCCCCTCCCCCCGTGGGACCCCCTGGCCAAAGGGTGGGGGCGCCGCCCGTCTTTGCACCCTCCATCTGATACCCCCCAAAATTTTGGCACCCCCCCATGTCTCCCCCCANCACCACCGTCCAGGCCTTCCGCACAGCCCTTAAGAACTGGCTAGCCCGTCAGGCCTGGGGACAAAGATAGCCGCCCCTCCCGAATGATGAATGAATGTTGCTTATTATTTTTTACTATATGTGTCTATGTCATTGTTTGTATTCCCCTCCCCGATTTTTATGTGAGCCGCCCTGAGTCCCCTCAGGGAAAAGGGCGGCCTATAAATGTTAATAAACATCTAAACAAACATCTAAACATCTTTTATACTTACTTATCCTATGTATTTATTTACATGCTTTATTTACTACTTCATTTGGGACTGCATGTAGTGGCCATCTGTGATAAGGCAGGCGTGGAGGGGGGGGGACAACTCTGTAAGGAAGTAGATCCTGGCTTAGCAGAGCAGTCTACCACGAAAGCAAATCCAAATTGCAGCTCTCCACCCCCTCCTCCCATATTTTTGGGGAGGGCTTATTATTTTTGAGGTACAGGAGGCGGACAGCGTGGTCACCTCCCAGTTGCTAAACCAACTAGCAATGAATACCAGGAAGGAATTAAATTCCCCAGTACAGACTGAATGGGAAAGTTCTATCTCCACCCTCGAAGGGGGGGAGGGAGGGGGGCAGAGAGAAAGCGAAGTTGCTGAGCAACTTTTCAGAACTTGGCAAAAGGGCCCCAGCTCCATTTCTAATACTTTTCCGAGTGTTCCTTAAATACTCTGCACAATTCTGGTTTTGCTCAGCTTAAGGGAGATATAGATACACACATTCTATTGGTTTAATAAAATAAGTTATTTTCCATTAACACATTAGCCAAAGTTAAGTTTGTTTTAATTTACTGAACAAGCCAGAATAGATGGCCTGATACGAGTTAAGCCAACTAAGAGTTACAAACAAAACAAGACTTTTGGATAATCCAAGAAATCGCTCATCGAATGTGCGATTTAGCCGCAGCCTGGCTTTTTGAAAATTATTCTTAGAGCCATAATCCTCTCACCCCAAATCTGGAATGTAGAGCATGGATTACAAAGTAAGACAATTAATCACGGCAACAGTCACATTCGTTAACAATAATAAAGCACTTTTTTTCCCCTTTCTCCAAAGGATGAAATAAATTAAACAAACTTTGCAACTGGTCTTAGTCACACGGAGCGGCTGAGAGGTTTGCTTACAATTACCATCCCGTTTATTAACCTTCATTGTCTTCGCTGCAACGTCAACAGAAGGTTTTAAAATGTGGACAAAGGCTTGAGAATAACCCACCTTCTGCCCTGGATTTCTCAACTGCATTTTAACTATTTGGGGGTTGGCTGGAAGGGGGAAGAATGGCAGGCAAGCTTTGCCCCCATAATACAGGGGGTCCTCGACATACAACTGTTCATTTAGTGACGCTTCACAGTTACAACCGCACTAAAAAAAATGACTTGTGACCGACCATTTTTCACACTCGGCATCCCCAAGATCACGTGATTTACATTCGGATGCTCGAGAATCGACTCACATTTATGACGGTTGCAGTGTCCGGGGGGGGGGGGGATAGGATCACGCGATCCGCTTTTGCGACCTTCGGACAAGCAAAGTCCACGAGGGAAAGCCAGATTCACTTAACAACCGTGGGACCAATTGAAGAATTTGTAGTGATTCACTTAACGACCGGGACGAGAAAAGTCATAAAGTGGGGCGGAACTCGCTTCACACGTTTCTCTCTTCTTTGGGCTCCGCTGTGGGTCGTAGGTTGAGGACTCCCTATATTCAGCTCTTCCTCCCCCTTATGGTCGAGAAAGCCCACTTCAAACTGCAGCCTATTTTGGGGAGGGGGCGAGAGGGGGGCAAACTTTCTGTTCCTGCCTCTCAGCCCAGCGACATGGTCCCCGGAGTCCCCTGGAGTCCGAGTCCCTCCTCCCCTTGGCAGTGCCCCTCGCCCGCCCCCCAGGCTTCGCGAAGACCCCCCTCCCCCAATAAGGTATCCGTTATAACGACCCCAAGTAGGGGCAGCCCCCCCNTTATTACAATGATCTTTTCAAAGCTACTCCTGCTACACCATCAAATAAGAGATGGAATAAAAGATCGCCAGTCTAGTACTGTGGTTGAAGCCAGCTAACTGGAAGATAGGAGAGCACGAGTTGTAATTCTGCCTTAAGTATGGAAAGGTGACTTTGGACCAGTCATCGTTCTCTAGAAGACAGCAACGGCAAGCCATTTCCCAAAAAGCTGCCAACGAATCTCCATGGATTTGCCAGTGTAGTCATCAGGAATCCAGATTGACTGGAAAGCCCCCCAAGATGCAGAGGAGGAGAGAAGATCAAGAGACGATATCTCCATGGGTAGAAACAGAAAGAGTTCAAAATCAGTTTTTTCCCATCTACAACCCTCTTGGTTGTCCCAAACCACACTAAACTAGCACAGGTACTCAACATGCTGAGGTGTGGGCACAGCTTCTTCTAAGCCAATCATTGAAAGGTTTCTTGCAGGTATTCCTTGGGTATTTTCAAAGAATTAATCTGGGTTTCCCTTTTAAGGGATCAGTTGAGCCGTTAACTACGGGATGAACGGCCCGTTTCATAAATGTGCCACCAATTTTGGGTGCACAGAGAGCCACTCTAGCCAGCTTGGTGGGATTCTCTGGTGTGAAGAAGGGCTTTGGTGAAACTCCCCAAACAGCCCCACTCGTCAGGACACCAACGGCGTCATCCTAAAACTGAAACAAACTCTTCTGTGCACAGCAAGTTGTTACACAGTCAAGTGTGAAGGCAAAGGAAAACAGGTCTGGACAGTTTGAGCTTGATAACTTAATCCCTAGCCAGCCATTTCAATTCTTTTGCAAGCACTTCTTCCTGAAACAAGTTAGCTGCGGGCATTCTGAAGAACACCATGCCACCCTCCACAATCCCACTGGATCTGCCAAGACACCCTCCATTTGCCCAAGTGACGGTCTGCCTTTTAAGAGAGTTAATTCATACAGAATGGGACGCTAGAAACAAATAACAGGAAAAAAAAAGACCCCAAGGCAGCCTCAGGTGATCCAGTTTTTTTGTGAAAGTCGGCTGCCCTTGTTGGTCAAAAGTAATCTAACACTGGGCTTCCATCGTTCCCAAAAAGTAAAGGGATAGTTTGCTGGTGAGACTTACAAGACATTGCGTCCCTTTACAGCCCTTCCTTTCAAGAGATCTTTCGTGCCAGCCAGGCCAACCTAAAGCATTGGGGTTTTCAGTGGGATCACGCACTGAAAGTGTTCACCACCTCAAGCTTCTCAGCTGCTGTTCCACTTCAATCAAACTCCAGACCCAAAGAATTTTACATCTTCGGCCAGCTATCTTTCTGGAAAAACTGGATCTAGTCAATACCTTAAAGCAGATGGTTTGTGTTTCTTTCTTAGTAGGAACCCATGCTGGAGAATCCTTACGCATTGGCCAAGGAGGACCCAGAAAGCCAGAAAGAGCAGCACATTTCAAATACAGCGGTTATAATCCTCTGTCCTGCGGAACACATGGCCTCTCTTTCAAATACTCTACCCTCCACATACTGGGTGAGAAAACTGAAGAGGAATGATGCATATTTACTGAACATTACAGAACATTCAACAGCTTTCTGAAGAATCAGTAGGCCTCCATGGCCTAAAAGACACACACGCCCCCAGCAGTATTTTAAAAAAATGCAAACGTGTGGCTGATTTATTTATTTCTCACAACAAAAGGCACTTTGGCTGCTCTTCTCGCAATCAGGACAGGAATGGGTCCTGTATAGTTTGGCTGTAATTGTTCCTCCTAATCAGAACATGCTGGCGTAATTTAGATTTTTCAGCAGCGAACTTGCGAGCATCTTAATCAGGCAACCCAAGAAACACCATCTGCAAAATCAGGGATTAGGACTGAGTCCAGGCACAAAAGATCGTCTTTTCTACTAGGAGGAGATTCCCCAGGGGAAGAGAGAAAGAGGAGCACAGCGTGTGTGTAAAGGATCGAGGATTTAACCCGAGTCTAGCTAGCTTCAGGCCAAGAGAGAAGATTATTATTACAGGCTTTGGAGCAGCGAGGTTTCACCACTGCCAGATGCGCAGCTTAATGCCAACCAACAGCCAGATTTTCTATGCTCAGGTACAACACTAATACCCCCCCCCAAAAATACTGACTAGTTATTTGGCTAGAGAGGAGATCCTCCCCTTGGCCCGAAACAAACATTTCAAGCTACGAACGTTAGCCTACCTTTCCCCTGACTGTTTATGAGCTTTGTTACAGGCCCAGCTCCCGAGCTGCCTCACAGCAACAGAAGCCGGCCTGCGTGCCAATTAAAGACACCCCTTTAGTGCTGGAAGTACCGCATGCAGGGCAGGGAGGAAAACATCCAGAGAAATCTATCGCAACTAAAAAAAAACGTAAAAGGCAACAGATTTTGCAGGAAAGACCTCCGAGGAATAGATTCGACCATAAAGGAGTTAAGTAAAAAAAAGGCTGCCATATACTTCCAAAACAAGGACTGAAAAAGCTGGCTAGACATCCAGACACGCAATCCTAAAATACTGCACAGCAGCTATGCATTATGTATATCGGCTGGCTATGTTTCTCCAGCCAGGCAGCTTTCAAAAGAGAAATGATTATTTGACCTTGCGGGG